AGATTAATTGAAATGTAAAATTCTTTTTGTCCTTTGGAGTAAACAGGCTTGCTATCAGTGCTCTGATGGAACTGAAACACATTAGTACTTAGAGTTGTTTTCTTATTTTACTGTTTGTATTTAAAGAGAAGTTCTCTTTAAATCTCGGTGTACTGTGTACAATGACAATAAAGGATTTCAGTTCAAACATAAGATCCAGTTCAGATGCTTAATATTGTGAGAATAACACAGAAGAGGGCCTGCGGTGTGTTGGTTATACTCCTTCAGGACACCTTCATCATGGTGACAGCTTAATGTTTTATTTCATATCACTGATATTTTCATGTTGCATCCTGAGGCCTGGCTCTGTCACTATTCTGGATTCAGAAAAAAGCCTCCATTGATGTGCTTGGCGTGACATCAGAGATTATATAACATTCTTAACCCAACATTACATAGAAACCAGCACGCAAGCACCAGCTTTTTCAAGCCTTACATGAAGCACAAGGACTGCAAGGAAACTTTAGACATAAAAAACATTAAATCTCAGCGTTGCAGGGACCCTGCGTTGCCAGGAGATTATCAAGTTTTAACATACAAAAATCCTCTGGCTGGATGAGAGGACAGATGTGCCTCAAGAGAGAGAGAGACAGAGAGAGCATCGTTTGCTATGTAGCCTGTAAAAAGTGAGTCAGTATGAGCGTGTGAGGCTGAACATGTGTGTGCCACCAGTGTCGCAAAGGCTGCTGTTTCCTGATTGGCTGCTGCCCGCACATACTCATGCACCCTGCTGGCAGTGAGATATATGGACGAGAGGACGAGAGACTCGGGGTTAGAGTGAACGTGGAGAGACCAGAATAACATCAGGGGCGACAGAAAGAGTTAAAGAAGCAGAAAGATCATTTATCATTTCAGAGGAGTCTTATCAACCTCAGCACCCCAACAGCAGGAAGAGCAGGTAAGAATCAGCCCGTCTTCAATTTTCTTCAAGTTTTCTGAAAGCCTGATCGCATGCTGACAACATGAACTAACAGGTGCTGAAATTATTCTTTGCTGGGACCAGGGATTTATTTTCAGTAAGAACTCCATCCCAAGTGTCGTGAAGCTGAAAAGTCCCGTAAGTGTGAGAGAAAAAGTAGCATTTGAATATTATTTTATGTTGTAGGTCTGTGTTTAATTGATAACTGAAGCTGATGGAAGAAGAATAAAATAAACAAAGATAAACATAAAATATATACAGAATTAAAAGCACAGACCGTGCAGCTGTGGAGCAGAGGAAAGTTACAAAGAGCTGAAGTGAAACTGAGTGTAAAACACAAAAATGTGTTTTACACTCAGGAGCCACTGTTGTAGTTTTCATACAGTATTTTTAATCTTTATTATATTATGTATTAGTGGATTTTTAAACACTAGGGATCTCTATTCTACGTCTCTGTTAGCACATGAATGAATAACTGATCAACAATCGATTTACTTTACAGAAACCTGGTTACAGCAGGATGATTATGTTTAAATGAATCAACACCCCCGAGTTATATAAAGGTCAGAATCCTCGAACCCTCGCAGGACAGAAGGGGCGGTGTGGCAGCTCCCAGTTATTAATCA